CTAGAAAGACAGAAAAAAAAAATAACAAAAAGAGAATATATATCTATAAAAACAAAAATATAAAATTAATTAATCAAATTATGTTGTAGGTATTCTGCCAATAATTTATTTTTAAATTTATAATTAAATCATCCATAAATTTGAAAGGGTCTTAAATGTAAAATATAATTTTAAAAATCTACATAACAGCTAATACAAGTACCTATGTATTCTGGTATAAACATGAACATTTAAAAATTATTTATCTTGCAGGACTTACTATCTGTATGGGATAATAAAATAATACCGAAAGATAGGAACTGGTTTAGATTTTTGTCGGTTTTTTAAATGTCGAACAGCGACTCGCAACAATCTCGGATATTGACGTCCGGTGCTTCCAGCAAGTCGTACTTGTTACGGTCGATCTCGTTACAAGCGTAGTACGCCGTTTTCACCAGGCTAGGTAGTAAGTTCGTACATATCTCCGTTAGGTCCGATGATGTACTTAGCTCTCCGCTCCAAACGTACTACAGTAGAGTGCTGTCTACCCGTACAAGTAAACAATGAACAGCTTAAAATATAACGTTCAACGATAAAAATATTATTGGCAATCGTCGCGGTAATAACGACGTTAAAAAAATGTAGAAAAAGGTGGGCAAGTGGGTGTCTCTCTGCTGTACAGTAAGTTACAAGTGGGTCACTGTATAATGGATGATATTAAATTTGAATTCAACGATATGATATCGTTGTATAAGAAAAACGATTCTGAGCGGAGACGGTATGTCAGTCTAGGTATAAGACATATTATATACATATCTATGATATTAAACAAAAAATTGACCTATAATAAATTCCAAATTAATCATATCACAATATCCATCCATTATGTACTTATAACGCGTTATACATTAACAAAAACCGTGATACTATTATGGATATACAGGGTGTCCCGTGAGGATTTACTCATTGCGATATCTCCTGAAATAATGGAGATATCGTAATTATGTTTTTTTATTAAGACTCGCAGAAGTAAGCACTACAAATATTTTATTTTTTAATTAAATTAAATTTTTTAGTAAAAAAGTTTAAAAAATTATTTTTTTATTTTTTTATTTTTGAAAAAATTGAAGATAGCCATTCTATAGAGTATATTTTTGTGAACATTTTGAGCTTTTAACATTTTATTTTCATTAATCTCATGATTTTTAATAATTTTTTTAGTTTATTAGTAAAACGTCAATAAACTGGTTTTTGTCCGGGCGGCGAGTCCCCCTCTACGGTTAATGAGTAAATCCTCACGGGACACCCTGTATAATAGTATTAATTTTTTACACTTTTTGGCGGAAAAGATAAAACTTAATTGATATTTATAGAAAAAAAACTAAAAAAAATTGAAAACTGAAAATGTCCGTAAACAGATCAAAAAGAGTCAAAATATTTTAAAAATTTTATGGTGTATAGAAAATGCTAATTTAAACATTCAGTGAAATATTCATGTATCTACAGTTGTTCGTTTTTGAATTACAACAAAATAAGGAAATCGCTACATGAGAAATCGAGTGAATATCCACTGTTGTAAAAATTTGAATTTCAAACGCTCATAAAAATTTAATTCGAGTTTCTTATAGACATTTTTTTTTTTGATAAAGGTAGATAATCTTATAAGGAATCTTGTATTACATTTTCAAATCTTAGAATTAAAAAGAAAAATTTTTACGAATTCTTAACTCAAAATAATTTGCTAATTTTCGTGATTTTTCCATATTTTGTAAATTTTTGAACTTTAAATGCTTATAAAAAAAAACTGTGACTAAGGAATTTTAATATTTTTCATCTGCCTTTGAAACAATATACTAGGAGCCTTCTATTAAATTTTCAAGCATTTTTAACCAACAAATAAAATTTTATTGATATTTTCTAGAAAAAAAACTAAAAAAAAATGAAAAATGAAAATGTCCCTAAACAGTTCAAAATAAATCAAAATATTTTGAAAATGTCATCGTGTATAGAAAATGCAAATATAAACAACCAGTGAAAATTTCATGTATCTATGGTCATTTGTTTTAGAGTTACACCAAAAACCAAAATCGATTTTTTGGAAGACCGATTTTGCGTAAAAATTCCCGTTTTTCCTTAATTTTTATGTGGTTTTTCTCGTGAAAACTACTGAGAAATTTTTACTTTTGACCCTCCAAAGTACCAACTAGATTCACTTTCCTATCAGAAAAGCTAATATTATTATAGAGCGCATTTTCCGTGTGCTTCAGTGCTTCGTGTGACGCAGCATATCTTCAATTTGGGTAACTACTACATGTTCCGTCTATATATGTAGGTCTATACGGTAGCGGTAGTCCAAGGTTGGCAAATAGGATTTGGTCGACGTGTCAATTTATGATACAATTCAAAAAATAATTTCCGACGTGCCACTTATTAATTTTGTTAACACAGAAAATGTTTACAAAATATAAATGAAAAATTAATGTAGACAAAATTTGACTTTTATTGATTTTTAGAAACAATTTACTTAATTTTGCTTCAACGATTTTTTATGTCATGGTTGATACTCTGTTAATGTTGCTTGCAAGGTGTATACATTTGTATAGACACACGAAAGTATTTCGTGTGCCATCGACAAATTTCTCCAGTGCCAAGCATATGGTGCTCGTGCCACTTATTTCAATTTTCCATCCCTGCGCTAGCCTAACCGAACCTAACCTCTTACAAATCCAAATACTATTTGAAAAAAGACGAATGGATCTTCGCAGGAAAAAAATATTTGTAACCGTAGATAATTTTGCCTATATTAGACCCATTTTCTGCAGTTAACAAAATGTCATAAGCATAACATTGATAAAATTAAAAAATTATTTTCACTATAATATAATTTGTTATAACTCATAATTCCTAATTAGATTGTATGGTATTATTTATTAGTAAATTTAAAGTGAAATAGTTAAGTACATTGTACATAATATAATACGATCGTCATCTGAAATGTAATAGTACACAATTCGTGAATTCACATAATATTGTATTATACAATTCAACAATAAACACCAAGGGCAGGATGTTGTAACAAATTTAGGAAAATATGATTTTTGTATTATGACTATGACTGATTTCAAAGCTTAAATGATGGTTAAATTTGGAAATTACATAATCTGTGTGGATGCGGGAGATGGGACCCATGGTTTGAACAGTTAAATTTGTTCGAAAATTCTACCATATGTGAAAAATGGTTATCTTAACATTTGGTGAAAACGAGGCGTAATCCTGTTGCAGATTGGAGAATACGAAAAAGATTATATTATTAAGCTCACCTTTACAACAAATTTAATACAAGGCTCCTGATATATAGCTTAAATAGCAGTTGAAAAATATTTAAAATACATATAGGCACAATTTTTTTTTTTATAAGCACTTAAAGTTAAAATGTTGACAACATTTAACACATTTAAAATTTAATAATAATTTTGTAGTTAAAAATTTATAAAATGTTCAACTTTTATTGCTAAAGATTGAAAATTTAAAACAAGATTCCACGTAAATAGGTTATATATAAATTACTTTATTCACCTTAATACAATCATCAAATATACTTGGAAATATCATAGGCTGACTGACCGTTTTCGCTGAGAATCGTTTTTCTTATACAATGATATTATGTCATTGTATTCAAATGTAATACCTTCCATTATGCAGTGACCCACTTGAGTAGAGTAAAAAAGACAGTTCTGGAACCAGATCCTGCTGGCAGATTCCTATGCTCTCGAGCAGATCCCTGACACACGGCAGCAGATCCCGCCGCCGACGGCAGATCCCACCGTCGGTCGACTACCCCCACCAGCCGACGGCAGAGCCCACCGCCGGTCGACTACCCCCACCACCCGCCGCCGCCGACGGCACTCTATGGCCGCCGCCGCCCGGGGAAAATAAGTTAAAAAATTTTTTCGTCCGACCGGGTTTCGAACCCGAGCCTATGGTTTGGTGAGCGTCCACCGCGCCACTGCGCCACCCCGCCACATATACTTAAGTGGTAATAACTAGCCCTATTTAACTTGTATAAATGTAATAATATCATTTAATGAAAATTATTTCTTATCACGAACGTGTTATCAAGCACCCGTTAACATTTGATAATGAAAATTATTTCTTATCACGAACGTGTTATCAAGCACCCGTTATTATTGTGCTCAGTTTTTATTTAAAATATTTGTACATGTTATATAATATATTACCGAACATCTAAACAATTGTAACGGACATGCAGCTGCATGCACTATCCCTGCAGTGACACGCAGATGCTCCCCCCACCAAATAATATTCAATGTACACGTTTAATACCGTAAAATGAAATCAGTCGCTCTTCACCCGCCCGAGTGTTCGTGCGTTCGTATCGTTTTCAGCGTTGAATTGAGAAGTTTTTAAAATAAAATTATTTTTCGTTCTATAAAATAAATATGGCCGGACCAGTCGAAAATATGGCTAATATTTGGAAGAAGAAACCTTTTAAATATACTCCACCAGCGCCACCAGCTAATCTCATCGACTGTAGTAACTTGACTATTGATTTCACGGCTCGGAAGTTTTTAAACATTGGACTAGACCCTACCGACGAATTCAACACCAAGATACATATTATAACAGCTTCACGTCATGTAAATATTCCTGTCGATTTTCTAATGCGTATATTCAGACTTATGGGCAACATTCTTTCGTTCATACTCGATCAACCAGAAAAATATAATCGAAAATTATTTTTGGAGACGGATTCAATTTCTTTAACTAGTATGGTGTATCAATCGGAGAACACACTCGTTTTAGAATCAAAAATTCAAGACGGATGTCGTGTTCTGTTAAATCGCTCCGATCTATTACAGTTGCAAGATTTAGAATCTGCTATTTATGAAATTATTAAAAGAAAATCTGAAATAGTTAAACCAATTGTACTACATCATATTGAGTTAATCGCTACATTCTTACAATTAAACGTACCGCTACAAAACTCTACACTCGAAATAATGAGAAACAAAGTGAGAAAAATTGACAATAGTTATATCCAAAGACATGTTATTGACGAGGCAATACAATATGGTATTAGTCAGGGCGATTACATTTACACAAATCAAGTAAAATTATACGCAACTGATTCTATCGTTCAAAAATGGATGGAAAAAGTGAAAGAGGTATGAATATTTTTTCTTAACTTATTTTATTTTTATGTTAATAAACTAAATTTTTACAGGGAAACAATAGAGGGCGTTCAATAGCTATTTCCCCACCATCGTTCAGCAGTTTATATGAACAGGTAATAAACAGTTTTAAATTTTATCTACAAACCATATTTAAATTTCAAATATTTTTTTAGGGAAATCTGGCATTAATCTCACCCTTGTCTCCGTCGGCAACAAACAAGCAGCATTCGCCAGAGTACCCCATTTTGCAGTATTCTCTACCCACACAAGACAGTTGTACCAACCTCCAGGATGCTATAGCAATGGTAATATTGTATTTATAAATATAATTTATATGATAAATAATCATTAATTTTTATAGGCTATTGATGAGAACGACGGACCCATGTATTTCAACAGAGACCCAACACCCCTGTTCGATTACACAGACAGCAAGTCAAAACCATCTGATCTGTGTCCACCGAATTTATTTTATTAAGTCTTAATAAATATTTTTTTCTTGTGTGAAATAAAAACAACCATGATATTTAAAAACAAGTTTTTTTATTTATTAGTAATAAGGAAATAATTATAAGGTTACAATATATAAGGTTACAACAAATATAATATAAGAAAAAAAAAATTTACAATTTTCTAACATCACCACTAAATGGGTTATAAGTTATAATCTGGTCGTGTAATATTAAACAATATGCTGCAGTCTTTTCTGGAATAATTGTATCTGTTTCAAATTCTATACGTAGATCCACGGTCGATGACTTTACATTGTCGTTTTGATGTGATAAATCGACAACGATGATTGGAACAAAGTTTTGATAAATATGTTTTGATAATAACGGCTGACAGTAGTCTCTCTCATAATACGATTTTTGAAAGTCTGTATAGGCCTTATACAGTATACTAGTTGTATTATTTTTAAAATCAGCGCGAAAGTCTTCATATGGAAACACTTCAGAATTTAAGTGAACCTTAAGGTTTTTTAATTGACAGTGATCGAATCGCCCAGCATCATTCTCAATATTTTTTTTTCGATCTGTCTGTAATCCAAACAGCACAAATCTTGGTTTTTCTAGCAAGCTGCTGGACTTTACCGTCCACGAATGAGAAGTATTTCTTGGAAGTATAGGGTATTCATTTAGATCCCAAGTCCGGTATGCACATGACAGTGTTCTATGTGAATCTATTACTTTTACCAGTCTTAATTTTTCTCTATCACTGACTTTGATAATGGGCATCTTCCAAACCACCTTAGTAAGTTCGATTGTAATTTTTTTATTTTTCTCAACGGCTGCGGTTGCACCCTCACCAACAACGTGTATCGCATCCAGGTCGGTAGATGCACGATTTAAAATCAGTTGCTGATTACAATTAAGTAATATTTTTTTATAGTCTTCACAAAATCCGAATAAATGTTTTAGAGGGATACACCCGGTAAATACATCGCCGCTCATAAAATTTTTATTATCTTCACCATCCATTGCCGAATCCCAGCCCGCGTTCTCCAACGTATTCAAATCGTTTGGAGTATACGAGCAGTATGCTTTCAAACAAGAGGAAACTCCAGGTGTTTTTAATTTTTGTATTTCTACTCCGTTTATTTCATATCGCATTTCAGAGAATAAAAATGCTAATCCATTATTTGAAAAACGAACATCTCCAACAGCATCGGCAGGTTTTTTTACTTTTCCCTCGATGAAAATATAACTTTCACACGGTAAAGTGTACGCGTCCATATTTAAAATATTTATCCTGATTTCATCGTTATTTGATAATGACATGTTTGAGTACGGAGTGAACGAATGATAATTCATTTGCGTTATTTTACACTCATCGACATAGTCGGCCGTTACGTCTAAATACGAGTCATCCATATTTATTTTTAAACTTGCAACGAACGGAGAAAATTCAAATTGTTTTTAGTGAGCTTGCTATCGTTTTTCGGTTTAGAGATAGTTTTTTTCGATGTTGACTTCTTAACGGTAGACGGTAAACTGACAGGTTTTTTGATTGTACCGGGTTTTATATTAAACTTGAGCGCCATATCCGCGAGTGATTTGTAGACGGACTGTTATTGGTTCACCGCGAAGATTAATTAGACAGTCGTTTTGATCTTTTAGCGCGATATTTACTCTAGTTATTGATCTCGTGTTGAGAGCATAAAAAACTGGATGTCTAGGTACTTCAACGATTTTATACCCTGCAGGTACAGATGGATAAAGCTCGTGTATAGCCTGACTCGGCGTACCGTCACAGAATGAGCCAGTAACTAAGTTGCACTCTACTTTTATACTGTTTATTTTCATTATGTTGACAATATTTTCAGATTCATGAGTAGCACCAGTAGTGTATAGTACATTTCTAAACCCTAATAATTTAGCTATACTATTTCCAACTGATAAGTCCACGTCATGACTACACGACATAATACACTTTAATGTTCTACTGTTTGCTTTTAATCCAAACGCAGTGACATAGTCTGGTAACATATCTTGTATAATACTCTCTAATTGATACAACTCATACGTCCCCGTAGGTATAATTATGTTTTCGTTCTGTCCGATAAAATTTCGGAAACCGATAGTATTACATCCAGGCTCGATGTTTGGTATTGAATTATTTGTCTGTAGGCTCAAAAGGCATATCTGTGCTGTACTTTCTACTTCCAACGGTGGAAAAATGTCGCATGACAATTCGCTCGAGTTACCGTTTAATGTTATCGTGTACATGATAAAAATTTTAAACACAAGTGTCCACAGTTTGTAGTATTATATTTCTGTTCTCTGCTATAATTGAAATTGATATTGCACCCGTGAAAATATTTTTGTACTTCTAATGGTGGTGGTAGATTTCCAAAACTGTCATAATATTGAACTTGATTTCCGATTTTTTTATACGCTACCCAGTGAGTACCTATACCGTTTTCTGTATCCAAGTTAACAATCGCTGATTCTATTCGTTTACGACGAGCAGGCAACCTATCTCGAGTAAACACGCCGACGAAATGAGGTATTTTAATCAAACGAGCCATTTTTATAAGTTCGAAATCGTATAAGGCTCTTCTGGGCAACGTAGTTATTAGTTTTTTTTATTTTTTCTAGTTTTTTTAGTTTTTGAACCCCCACCACTTTTATATGGTGCGAGATTTAAGCCTGATCCGATTTTATACGAATTGCCTTTATACGGTGCGATGTATAATCCGCCGCCCAAATGAGATTTTGAATCTCTTTTAAATTCACCGGCCATCTTAACCACGTTGGCAACCCCACCAGTTAGCGCTCCAAGTGCTGACAGACCGGCGAAAATTGGGATGAGCGGTAACACCCCGCCCTTTTTCGGAATTGATATAATCCTTGGAACTTTAGTTTTTTTATTTTTGAATGTTTTTCGTGCGACGGCTAAACATTTTTTACTTAATTTCATCATGTTTTTTTCACCGATATTTTTCTTTATAGCGTTTTTAGCTGCTTTGACGGCCGCTTTAAACCCACATCCAGCCCCGATTTTACGTTTTGCTTTCATGGCGGTAGTTACACCCCAAGCGACAGCCTTTTCTTTTAAACTAGAATCTTTAGACTTGAACCTATCCCAGGCTCGCTGCTCTAATATATAGTCAGCCTGGTTGCGATCTGTGATAGAGTTACTATTATCGTATGCAATATCGTGATCTCTACACGCAGCGTCTAAAGGGTTTATACCTTTATCTCCACGGGCTAAACGTTTTTTTAAATTTGTACCAGGACCACAATATTGATAACCTAAAGAGAGAAATATTATTATTATTACTACTAATATGCTCATATTATGATCTCACCAGGCACGTGAAGCTCTAGCGGTAATTTATTTATAAGCGTGTTGATAAGACCAGCGCCTTTATTGTTGATCCTTCTTCGAGCGAGTGACATCGTGTACTGATCACGTTCCGAGTGTTACAGAGATATTTATTTAAAAATGAAATTCCTTAAACAAGATATACAACTCACAGTTGAAAATGTGGATCCACCTACTTCGTATAAAAAACAAAGACATGGATCGCTTCTACCTAATACGATAAGATCACTTATCGTAGGTCCTTCAGGTTGTGGGAAAACTAATTTAATTTTCACATTATTAACACATATAAACGGTATACGATTTCACAACGTCTACATATATTCAAAAACATTGGATCAACCAAAGTATGAATTGTTGAGTGATATTTTATCAGACATTGATGGAATACAATTATTTAAGTTCTACGAAAACGATCAAGTTATTGAACCTGAAAAAGCTTTACCAAACTCGGTGTTTATTTTCGATGATATTATTACTGAAAACCAAAAGATTGCAAGAACTTACTTTTCCAGAGGTCGACATAATTTAATAGATGTTTTCTATTTAGCTCAGAGTTATTCAAAAGTACCCAAGCAACTTTTGCGCGATAACGCTAATTTTATTATACTATTTAATCAAGACGAGACAAATTTAAAACACGTCTACATGGAACATTGCTCTGGTGATATGACATATCCAGAGTTTAAAGACTTTTGTACTTCATGCTGGCGTAAAGGGAGATTTGAGTTTATCGTTATAAACAAAGACTGTGAACGCGACAATGGTCGATATCGTTACGGCTTCGATACGTTCGCTGTTATATAAACTAATGTTTTTTTAAAAACACTTCATTCGCAAATATGTCGTCTAACGATGAAGTACTCGGAGAATTGATTAAAGCCAAAGAAAATATAAAACGCAAGTATGCCGCATTAAAACACGGAAAAGCTGATATTCATTCGTTAGTAACAGAAACATTAAAACCAATTATTGAACCATTAAACGAGATTCATAATTCGACATCACAACCTCAAGACATAAGTGTACAAAAAGTTGAAAAAAATAATACAGAAAATTCTAGAGTTTTTAAAATAAACGAGTTGCTGGATTCATACAACATAGATAAAACGTATGGTCCTACATTACAATCAAACGGAGACGCATATTTGGGTAAAAAAGAAATTAAACTTTCCGGAGATATATTAATTATTGAAGATACATCGTACCCGCTAACACAAGGACTTATTAGTTTAATAATTTCGAAAACTCCGAAAATCTATACCACAGACGATTTAAACGTATATAAGCGCATATTAATTCAAACATCAGCTCATCTGACATCAAACGGGAAAAAAATTAAAAAAGGTGGAAATAAATACACTGATATAATCAAGCCATTGTTCCCATCTTCGGGTAGTGGGTTGTCTATGAAATTACAAAATAAAAGTCTAGTGTACTGGAATGACCCTAATGAGTTAGTCGAACGTTTACGACTACTTTTAGCTTCTCAAGCTGCTGGTAATACAGGTCTTTCCAACGAAATACTTTCAATTTACGAAGAATTGTATGAAGCGGGTTTGATAAAACGAATTCCAAATGTCTAAACGTGATATCGCTTTCGAACTACACAAACCAGCCAGAAAAAATTATACAAGGCGGAGAGTTAAT